AATTCAATTTTAAAATGTGCAAAAGAATTGAATAGACATCTCTTCATACATACTATATAAATGGCCGTTAAGCACATGAAAAGATCCTCAACATCATCAATCATTAAAGAAATGCAAATCAGAGCCACAAAGAGATAACACTTCACTACAATGGCTGTAATTTTAAAAAATTGGAAATAATAAGTACTGGCAAAGATGAAGAGAAATTGAAACCCTCATACCCATGAGAATGTAAAATGATGCATCCACTTTGGAAAACTGTCTGACAGTTCCTCAAAAAGTGAAATGTAGAGTTACCACATGACCCAGTAATTTCACTCCTGCCTATATACCTAAGGGGATGGAAAACATGTTCACACAAAAACTTGTCCATGAATGTTCGTAGCAACATTATTCACAACAACCAAAAAGTGGAAACAACCCAAATTTCTATCAATTGATGAATGTACAAATGAAATGTGGTATATCCATACATTGGAATATTACTCAGCCATAGAAAGGAATGAAGAACTGGCATATGCTCTCACATGGATGCACCTTGAGAATAGTATACTAAATGCAAGAAGCCAGACACGAAGCCCACATATTGTATGATTCTATTTACATGAAATGTCCAGAACAGACAAATCCATGGAAACAGGAAGTCTATTAGTAGTTGTCTGGGGCCAGAGGTAGTGGGCATGAGCTACAGGGTTTCATTCTGAGGTAATGAAAATGTTCTGAAGTTAGATTGTGGTGGTAGTTGCACAACACTGAATATACTAAAAAAACCAATAAATTGTACATTGTTAAAGGGTGAGTTTAATGGTATGTGAATCATATCTTCATAAAATGAAAGAACACGATAAAAGAAAGCATACACATATCTGCTCAGTTTTGGTGGAAATGCAGTAAGCACAAGCCAGATGGGCAGAGGGCTTCAGTAGACATTTCTATTCAATTGAAAGGGCGAGAAAGGGTAGAATGGGTGGGAGAACGGGAATGCAGTAACAGTGACGAGGAGAGCAACGTTTTTCTGGCTATGCCTCTGTGTGTCACACTGACCCTCACTGCATACATGTGCACAGCCAGCCCAGGACATGGCGGCAAGCCCAAGTAGAGCACAGACAGGAACACGCCACGTGAACCGCATCGTGAATGACTGGCAGCCACAGCGAAGTGGGTGGGGAAGAAAAGAACTCAGTTAACTCCTTTTGGAAAATTGTATTTTCACTATATATCATGAGGGTAAAAATAAAAAGAACTTTATTACAAATGTTTTATTCTAATTAGTACATTTATTTTTCACAGGGGTATAAATTAGCAATTGTGAAACTACTTCATGTGTATATGTACTTCGTTTGTGTTCTATAATTGAACGAATAAGTAAATTTATTGTGAGTGATGACGGGTTTCTCCCTGTTGGAAAAACAAGTTATAAATAAGGAAAGGGGGAAGGCTGGAGTGACCCGTGTGGGGTGGGACTGGGATCCGAGGTGTCAGTGTGAACTCATGGTTCTTAGTACACACAAACACACACACGCACACACACACACACACACACACACACAAATGGATTGATACAGAAATACATAGATAATGTTTTTACTGGCTCTGTTTGTGAGAGAACCTGGAAATAATGACACCCCGGTAGCTATGAAATCTAGCATCCAGATCTGGTTTCTAAATATCATTCTCCAATTAAAAAAAAAAGACTGGGCTTCTTGGAGAAACGGTTGATTCTAGAGTTGGGGCAGGGACAATATGAGATGAACCTGGAGCATCTTTTGCTGCAACAAAGTAAGGACACATTCACAAAGGAAGGGAGCCAGCTCGTCAGGGTCCCGAGTCCCCAGACAGCTCTGTGGGCTTGGGGTGGGCCTCATAGTCGAGGCATCTATGTCCCTCTTACCCCGATATTTTTAATCCTCAGGAGCCACTCGTCATTTAAGACAGAAATCAAGATCCTGAACAGGAGACTCCGTGACGTGAAAGGTGTCAGACGCTGGGGACAGAGAGTGCTTGATGCTGGAGGGAGCCTTCGTGAGGAGGGAGAGAGGGCGGCTGTCCCCAAAGGAGGCTGTGAAGGGCCGTGCAGGCCCCCAGAGAACCTGGACCCTCACCCAGAGGGAGGTGGAAGCCAGGGAGAGCTGCGAGGGGAGTGACATACGTCGTCTCACATTTTAAAGGCTCCCGTGACTGCATGTTGGGAGTGAACCTCGGCCGGGCGAGGGGATGAGCAGGAGACCAGTTAGGTTGTCACTGCTACGTCTGTGGAAGAGACGCGGTGGCTTGGGGCAGGGTGGCAGCAGGGAGGATACGTTTTGATGAAAGGACCAGATGGTCTTTCCCAATGGATTGAATGTGCGTAGTGAGAGAGAGAGGAAAGCCGGCAATCTAAGGGATTTCCACCCGGGTGGGTAGAAAGATGGAGACACCGTTAACTGCGACAGGAGCACGCGGGGGATCGAGGTCAGGGCGTGAAGATCAGACGTTCAAGTTTGCACGCAGTGAATTTGCTGCGCTTGTTAGAAATCCCAGCAGGAGACGCCCGGCCGGCAGGGGCAGACGTGAGGGGTTCAGGGAGAGGCCTGTGCTGGAGAGAGGAGCTGGGGTCCCCAGCCAGGCTGGTCCTCAGTCACGGGACTGGGCCGGACGTCTCGCGTGTGAGTGTTACAGGGACCAGCCAGGTGCTCCAGTGCTTAGATCAGAGGTCAGCCTGGGAACACGAGGAGACAGAGCGGCCGGCGAGAAGGGGAGAACCAAGAGGGAGTGGTGGCCCAGAGGTCACGTAAAAATGTATGCGAAGAGCCACCCAGTGTGTCAAAGGTCGCATCCAGAAAGTTAAGGATGAGAATTCATCCTCGAACTCAGCAGTGGGACTAAAAGTCTGATGGATCAGTGTTCCTGAGACAGACAGAGGAGGGACTGGGGACAGCAAGTGCCGACGGCTCTCAGAGGAGTTTCCTATGAAGGGAAGCGGAGGGGTCGCGTGTGCTGTTTTGTTTTATTTGCTTTTATTTGCTTTTGCCACAGCTAGTCTGTGTGCTGATCCGACTGGCTCAGAGGGGACTGTACGGCGCAGAAGTGACATCTGTTCCTGCGGAGGCCATGGGGGGCAGGTCTCACGCCAGGCACAGGGGTCGGCCTTGGAACTACTGATGCAGCAGGAAGGAAAACACCCAGTGCAGACACAGAGTGGGCAGGTAGACACGATGGCGAGAACACGTGGAAGTTCTCAGTGAAATAGGAAGCAGATTTAGTGGAAATTGTGTCAAAATAATTGTGTTGTAAGTGTTTGCAAACTAAACTTTTCCTACATATACATTCTCCTGTCTCTCAAATAGCACAGTCATCCATCTTCCACTTTGAAACAGTTCGAGGGAACATTGGTCATGAGTTGGGACCTCATGTGAGCCAGCAGGAGATAAATACAGCCCCAGGCTCAGTCTCGAAAATGCTGCCTGTGGCACAGGGCTCGTGAATCCGAGAAAACCACCAACGCTGTGGAGAGGTGATTTAGCCCTGCTCTGTCCTGGCAATGTGACCCTAATGTCACCTTCAAGCAGAAATAACCACACAGAGCTCCAGTTGTGAAGAAAGGGTTTGTTTTATTTTCATGTTCTGTGGGGCTTTACGAAGCAACGTTTCCCTGTCAGCAGCTTCGCACCCTTTGCAAAAGGTTCCCAGGTGGCAATCAGTGCAAGTTGGGGCAATACTTCTGGGAAGACACCCAAAAACGGAGGGAGGGTAAAGATGAGGGAAGATGAGGACACCACCTGGCCACCAAAGGCCCTCACCAACAGCAGGGAAACCGGTTTCACCAGCTGGACACACAGTTGCAACGTATGAAGGGGAGGGGAAGGAAGCAGAGGGTCTGGGTGGCACCCTGCCATCAGGAGGAAGTGCAGCAGGAGGAGGAGGCCCAGACAATGAGGAACAGCCAGGGACTGGGAGTCCACTGGGAGGTCAGCGCTTCCGTTGACCCACTTGCCCAACTCTGACCGCCTCACCCAGCTCCATGATTACCTACTCCAAAACCAATGAATATTCATTCCCATCTTTTTGAAACTAATATTTATTGCTCTCTTACCAGGCTCCGAAGTAGGCTCTGAGATCAGACGGTCCGTGGAAACAGCCAGGGCTCCTGCCCGCACAGAATTCGGTCCCGCTGGGGGAGCAGATGCGCTGATTTTGAAACCACACGAATATGCCACTGTCACTGAGATACGGTGTTTGGAGAGACGTAACAGGAGAACTTAACCTGGCCGGGGAGGGTGTCCCTGAAGAAGTGAGCTTTGAGCCGAAATCCGAAGGACAAGAAGCAAAACCAGGCAGGGAGGCAGAGGAAACAACTCGGGCAAAGTCTGTGGTGGAAGGTGCTGGAAACAGCCAGCCCAGCGGAGCCTGGAAGAGAGACAGCACCCCAGGAAGACACGCCTGACATGAAGAGGCACGAGCCATGTGGGGAGGCTGCTCGTGTCATCAAGGCTTCAATTTACAACGGCCAAGTCCTGTGTGACAAGGGGCACAAAATGACGGTGCTTCGTGATTTTATTCATGGCATTAATAACATTCCACTTGAAATTAGTGTTTAGAGTGACTTTTATTTCTCTCATTCTGTACCTTTCCTTATCGTTTACTCTTTTTATAATGAGCGTTGATCATTTTTCACAGAAACACTGTTTTCCAAGTCAGATTGATTGAGATATTATTTACCTACAATAAAATGCACCAGTTGTAAGTGTACATCTCTATGAGTTTTGACAAATTTATACGCCCACGTAACCACCGCCACAATCAAGATGTAGAATATTTCATCACCCCAGTCTTTCCCAGTCAGTCCCCCAGCCCAGCCCCAGGCAACGACTGATCAGTTTCTGCCACCATATGTTAGTCTTTCTTAGTGTCATATAAATGAGATAATACACTATATAGTCTCATGACTGGCTTTTTCTGCTCAACATAATGTTTTTGAGATTCATCCATTCTTTCGCATGTATTAGTAGTCCATTCCTTTTCATTGCTGAGTAATGTTCCACCGTGTGGATATTCCAAAATGTGTTTATCCACCTCACCTGTTGATGAACATGCAGGTTGTTTCCAGTTTGGGCTATTATGAATAAATCCGCTATGAACAGTAGAGCATGGACATACGTTTTCATTTTTCATTTCTTTCTCCATATTTATTTGTTTATTTATTTTTAGACATGGTCTTGCTCTGTCACCCAGGCTGGAGTACAGTGGCAGGATCACAGCTGACTGCAGCCTCTGACTCCTGGCCTCAAGTGATCCTCCTTCCTCAGCCTTCCAAAGTGCTGGGACTACAGACCCAAGCCACCGCGCCCGGCCTGTTTTCATTTCTTTTAGGTAAATACCTAAGAGTGGAATTTCTACAATTCCTACTGTAAATGTATGTTTAACTTTATAAGAAATTTCCTAGCTGTTTTCCAAAGTAGTTGTACAGTTTCACATTGTCACCAGGACTGCAGAAGAGTTCCAGTTGCTTCACATTTTCCCCAAAGCTTGGCTTTGTCAGTCTTTGTCATTTTGGCCATTCTGGAGAGTGTGTAGGTCTCTCACTGGGGTTTTAATTTGCATTTCCCTGATGCGACTAATGGTAAATTCTTTGTCAGACATTAGAATGTTATATATTATCTCCCATTTTGTGGCTTGCCTTTTGGTTTTTTTTTAACAGCTTTATTGAGATAGAATTCAAACACCCCTTGTTTGGGTTCTTAACAGTGTCCTTTTAAGAGTAGAATTTTTAAATTTTGATACATTCCATATTACCAACATTTCATTTTCTGGTTCAGGAATTTTTTGTTCCAGATAAGAAATCTTTGCTTATGCCAAGGTTGTGAAGATTTTCTCCTATATTTTCTTCTAGAAGTTGTATAGTTTTAGTGTACGTTTAGGTCTATGATCTGTTTCAATTGAATTTTTGTGAATGGCACAGGGAATTGAGGTTCATAAAACTTTTTTTAAGTAAGTTAAGAAAACACACAGCAAGGTACAGTTCAAAAGACTAGTCACAGACCAAGCCAGAAATGGTCACCGATTTCCCAACGTCACATTGCTAAAGAGGTAATTGTAGCGTAAAAGCCAGATTTTGTGGTTTCTTGTGCAAATGTATTCCAGGTAATAGCACCCCTATACACACGTCCTGTTATGTCCATTGTGACTGTTCATTTCTGCCACTCAGCTCTGATTAACAAAAACATGAATTAAAAGCAGTTGAGGTGTGGGTGAGGCACTTGGCAGGAAGAAGTAAAAGAAAATGTAAAGTTGTACCCTGCCCAAAAAAGACAAAAGCCCCAGGTGGCATAGGTAGGTGGCTCTTAGATGTGATTTCATAAGTCAGCCAAAGCCACCTCAGCCAAAACTGCTCCCCTACCAACTTGCGTCAGTGTCCTGATGCCCACCGTTAAGAATCACATCCAGGTAAAGCATCAATTAACCGAAAGCCCCTGTGCGAATGCACGCGGCCTGAGGGGGCGCTGGTTTCCGTATTAGACCTATCAACAGCCTCCTGGGAAAGGTGCTGCAAGTCCCCGGGAGGGAGCGCGGTTGTGTTGTGGGAGCCAAAGGCAGGACAGGAAGGTCTAGAGCAAGGTTTAGGCTTCCCACACTGCAATCAGGTTTGCTGACCTAAACGTTAGAACATAAGGTCTAAACAAAAGATTATCATTTTCTAATTTGTGAATTTTTACCAAAAAAAAGTGTATAACAATAACTCAACATTGAATCATTTCCCTAATCGCCTTTGTTCAAACTACCCCAGAATATCCTGCCATCTGGTTGCCGTGTCCATCGACCCCGCGGCATGCCAGTGAGCAAGGGCTGGGGAGGAGGACCTGAGTGGGAAACCTAAGCAGTGGGGCACCGAGAACTGCGCCAGCCTGGGGCCACCAGCCCTCACCCACCGTGCAGCGCAGCCTCACGACCACGAGCGGCTTCTGGGTGACGCGCACGGCTTCAGGAAAGAATCCACGGTGGGGCAGAAAAGACACCACCTTCCTGGTCATCACCCCTAATTCTATCCCTGTCTCCCCTGTTGAACTCTACCCTTTTGCTGAATTTCCAGGCACACCCGAAAAATTAAGACACAAATTGCATATAGAGAAAAATACAATTTAGTCATTAAAATGAGGACAAAATTTTTGTAACTCTGGAAAGTCGAGTTACGTCATCGAGGTTGTTTGTAAAAGTGGCTGTACCCGTCGGCAATAGTTCCCGTAAGGGTCAGGGAGATTAGGCAGGTTTCACAATACGGAGCGTCCTTTGGGTCAGGAGTAGAGGAGGGACAGCATGTCACAGATCTTCCCCGTAACTTCCAGAAAAGTCAGCCAGGCAGGTCTAGGTTCAAACTTCTTTACGAAGCCGTGTTCCTGTGAGATAATAGATTTAACATTTTTAAATCAGTGGAGCCTCTTTGCTGGAATAATAAGCAAAGAAACTTTCATTTAAATAATGCAAATAGTTAAGTCTTCTCTGTACTTTCACTAGTTGTATTGTGTTCATTCTCATCATAGTTCTCTACTTCCAATTCTAGATCTCTCTAGAGCAGCATTCTCCAGAAGAAATGTAGTGTGAGCTACATGTGTAATTTTAATTTTTTTGCAGCCACATTTTACAAAGTAAAAAAATAGGCACAATTAATTTGCAAGACACGTTTCATTTAATATATCCAAGATATTATTATTTCAATATGTAATCAGTATAAAAATGATTAATGAGATATTTTATTCTCTTTTCATACCAAGCCTTCAAAATCTGATGAGTTTTTAGGACTTACGGCGCATCTTAGTTCAGACTGGCC